CTCCAGCTCCCCGCCGCCCGGCCGCCCCCGGGCCCCGCAAGTACGTGCCTCGCGGACGGGCGGGCCTCGCTGGGTCCTGGGGCATCCCTCCCTACACCTGATCGGTCCAGGGCCACCCCCTCCCTAGACCCGGGACACCCCTACACCCAGGGCACCCCCTTCTTGGTCCCAGGAAACCCTCTCCCAGGTCCCAGGGCTCCCCTCCCTAGACCTGGGGCACTCCTCCTTGGTGCTGGGGCATCTCTCCCTGGACCCAGAACACCCCTCCCTCTTCCCAGGGCACCCCTCCCTCTTCCAGGGGCTAGACGTGGGGCACCCCTCCCTGTTCCCGGGACACCCCTCCCTCGAGGTGGGACACCCCTCCCTGTTCCCGGGACACCCCTCCCTCGACGTGGAGCACCCCTCCCTGTTCCCGGGACACCCCTCCCTCGACGTGGGGCACCCCTCCCTCCTCCCGGGACACCCCTCCTTCAACGTGGGGCACCCCGCCTTGGCCCCAGGGAGCCTCTCCCTGCTGCCCCTCTGCTACTGCCAAGCCTTCGTTTTTCACTTTTTTTTTTTTTTTTGGACTATGGAAAAATGATAGTGGTCTTCTTTTCTCGTGAGACTGTTTCAGTTGCTGAATTGGTCTGATGAAGACTGCCCTTAGCCAGGACAGCGCTATTGTCCAACCTGATTTATGTTCCTCTTAATTTCCTGGGTGGTATAGTCGTCATAGTCTCTGTCAATGTGGCAACGTGTTACTCGGTAATGCAGGTTCCCGGTTCCTTCCTGGGTAGTCATTTTACTGATGCCGTCAAGGTTTTGCTGGTGTAAGCACTGCAGAGACATGCCTTGCGTACAGCCATGGCAAAGTATGTTGGATTTCTTTCTGCCTAATGTGACCGGCAAAACCACTGCTTAAATTCTGGCATGCAGAGTCTTTGTGACTGGGATTGATAAAAGAAGCAGGAAAACATGTTGGAATTCAGGTAGCGGCCGTATTTTCAGCAGTTAGAAAAGGGATGTGCAGGTTTGATAAGGGAGGTAATGAGATAATATAAATGAGAGAGAGTCTCCTCTCTTGGGTTCCTTGTCGCTTCCCTTCTTGTTTAAGGTGTCCTGGAGAAGCAACAGAGAGTGCAGGGTAGAGTGCCCTTAGCCTAAACTGAATCAGACACGCAGACGCTTTCCTGAGCCACAGCCTTTGCTGTATTGCAGGTGCTATGTGGAGAAGTGATCATCAGGAAGGAGTTATAACCTGTGAGACTTTACGGGGGCAATTGAGTTATAACCCTGCTTACAGTTAAGGTTGTCTAACGCTTATCAGGATACGATTTTTGCTTTGTCAGTTTGACAAACTTGTATGAGCTGACATTTCCCTGCTGGGCACAGAGAGGGGAGAAGGGGAGCCCGAAGGGGCGCTCGGCGGTGGGGGGGTGGAAATCTGTTTTAGGATTAAAGATTCACACAGCTGGAAGGATTTCATTTAGTCCAGCCCTCTGCTTAAAGCAACAGTAGCCTCGTCTAAGTCACCCCAGATATAACATTTGGTTTATCTTTACTTAAACTTTTTGTGGCACAGATCCCACGCCATCTAGAGTGATCTCTCGCAGTGTTCGCCCACCCTTATAACGATAAAGTTCTTAAGATCTGACCTAAATATTTATTTTTGCAATTTAAGTGCATTATTTAGTGTCCTTTTACCGTGAAATGCAGAATATCCGTATATGAAGACTGTTGCCAAATCATCCTTAGGTTTCTCTTGTCCAAACTAAATCATCTCAGTTTTCCCAACCTGTCATTAAATAATGTTTTCTAGATCTCTTGTCATTATTGTTGCTCCTTTGGATTCTCTTCAGTTTGTCCCTGTCTTCCTTGAAGTGCGGCGCCCAAACCTACTTTGGCTGAGGTCTCACTAATGCTTCACAGATGAGACGAATCATTTCATGTCAGGGTGGGCGGTTCTTTGGGCTGGGAAGTCTTGCAGAGCTGCTGAGGGCGGCATACACCAAAGTGATGGTGTTTACAACAGCTGTACTTAAAAATCACCACACAATTTCCCACACACAAAATTACCATATTTCCACAGCGATTTCCACACAGCGACTAAATCACCAGTTTTCCACAGTGTCACTGTATTTCCACACACACGTCTACAAAACAGGTCCCAAATCCCCATTTTTCCACATAAAAATCACCATATTGCCAAACGACTACACGCAATTACCATTTTTCCACAGAAGAATCATGTTTCCAGAAGGGTCCCAAGTGGCCACACACAACGGCAGGTTTTCCCCACACACAATCGCCACGCGCCCACATGCGTTTCCACACAAAGCTCCAAGGCATGGTGCACAGCCGCATTTCCACACAGCGTGCCCCCTGACACGACTACCGCGACCCCCCTTGTCTGGTAACACCTGGTGCCAGGTCCTGCCCGTGTCCTCCTCTGCACTGCCACTGCCCTGGTGTGCGCCACACCGTGCTGCCTTGCTACATGGCGAGGCCAGATGGTGCCAGGCTGTGCGGGGCTCCCTGGGAGGGAGTGATGAATCTGTGTGGGCACAGGGCAGGCAGCATAGAGCAGCATCCTGTTGGCACCAGCTCTGCAGAGGAGCAGCCTGTGTCCACCTGCTGCTCGGCCATGACCCTCGGCACTTGGGGTGGCTTGGGGTAGAAAGCGGATAGGGGCTGCAGGTGACAGGGGTGCCATTCATCTTCCTGCGGGACGCTTCTGGGCTGCTTTGTGCCAAGCCAGACCTCTCCTTCTGCATGTACAGTGGTTTGGGGCCCATGTGCGCCACTCCCACCACTGCAGGGGGCTGCACCCAGTGCCTCTCCTTGCCATTGCAGGGGGCTGCTGCAGACCACATCTGGAGCGGTGGTTCCCTCCAGTGGGCAAGGACTGGCATAGCAGCCAGAGGGGCTACACACAGCAGTGGTTCTCCGTCTGTTTGGAGTCTAACAAACATGATATAAGTCTACCCAAAATTTGCCCGTGGGCTGGATAGAATTAGTTGGTGGACCAAGTACAGCCCGTGGGCCATATTTTGCCCACCCCTATTTTATGTGCCTTGCATACTGTGCTCCTGTTAGGATATAACTGAATACGGAGTTGCTTTTTTGCAACCATGTTCCACTATTGATTCAATAGGTTGCAATCCACAGTAAGCCCCAGGTCCATTCCTGTAGTACTGCAACTCAGCTAGTCTTCCCCCATTTTGTGTTTGTGCCTTTGATTGTTCCTCCCTCAGTGCAGTACTTCACACTTGCCTGTACTAAATTTCATCCTGTTTATTTCTGACCTTTTTTCCAGTTAAGGTCCTATGGGCAGCTAGGACTTGAAATTTGGCAGGGATGAAGCCCTGATGTGAGGATTTTGCTTGCTGCAGCTCCTATAAAGATTTGCCCAGTTTGGGCCTCCTAAAACTCTCCCTTCTGACCAATGATGTCACATCAGCAGAGAGCCTAATGTGCCCTGCAACTCCCTTCACACAAGCCCTTCCTGGCGAGCTTAGCGCACACTATACAGGCATGTCTCTTACTATTCTGAAGTCGTGTCATTGAATATCAGTGACAGATGTTATCTTACTCAGTAGCTATGTCTTGCTGGGTTAGGAGAGTGGGGACTCGTACCTGCCTGGGATGGACAAAACTGATTAAGAAGAGACGGTTCACATTAATTCCATTTCGTTTTTCTCGTATATTGCTATTGGTAATAAATACAAATAAAAAAAATACTGGATAAATCATTTACATTTTTGCTGGCCTTGATTTCTCCATAGGGTAAAAGAGGAGTAAACTTCTTGGAACCAGTTCTAACAGAAGCTACTGCAAATATGACATTAGTGTCTCAAAATGAGCCAGAAGTTATCATCGTTGGTTCAGGTGTACTTGGTTCTGCTTTGGCTGCAGTTTTGTCAAGAGATGGAAGAAAGGTGACAGTAATAGAGAGGGATTTGAAGGAACCTGACAGGATAGTTGGAGAATTGTTACAACCAGGGGGCTATAATGCTCTTATGGACCTGGGTCTTGAAGGTAAGTACACTTTAAAGTACAGTGAAATCTGGTTATTAGTCACTGAGATAACTCATCACTATAGTCTGTTAATTTGTGTGCTGAATCTGAGATTCCCATTGATTTGTATTCAAAACACTTTCTAATTTGTCACTTGTAAAGTGTAGTCATTTTTGAACGTATGCACATACTAAATCATAATGGACTTTTCTTTGGATAAGTAGTTTAAGGCATGTCAAGCCACTCTGAATATTTTACTGTACAGATTTTGTGTTATAGAGGTATTTGACAAGGACAAAACCCATTGGAAGACATACTTACAAAATATATCCAGTAGGTAGGGACCTACCTAATTTGTGGGGGCTGCCCCCCAATTGCATAGGCAGAATGTGGACCTGGGCAGCCATTTCATGGGTGCCCTCCTGTGCCTGGGATTGGCCAAGGGGCCACAGTGGTCCTGCCCCTTGCCACTGATTGGCTGGGGGGCTTGTCTGTCATGTGTCCCTGCCCCTTGCCGTGGTGGGGGCTGTCTGTCATGTGTCCCTGCCCCTTGCCGTGGATTGGCTGCCAGGGCTGTCCATCGTGCAGCCCCACCCTTCACCGATTGGCGGAGGGGTGAGGGCAGCAGCCATCTACCCAGGAGCTCTAGCGCTCAATAAGATTTTTTTTTTCTTTCCATGGATTTTGCAGGCAAAACCAGTACCTATAGGAATATATGGACTGCAATGGATTGCTTTTATGTTTACAAACCAACCGTTTTGAAAGTGTTTCCTTTTGTTGAATGTGCACTAAAGACATAGACATTTGAAATAGTGTCAAATTTTTACACAGCAATCCATGTCTTTTTCACTGTTCTTTAGGTTTTCACTAACTTATTGGGATCTAATTTGCAGATACGGTGGAAGGTCTTGATGCTTATGTAGTACATGGTTACGTAATTCATGATCGAGAGAGTAAAACGGAGGTTGAAATTCCTTATCCAAAGTCAACAGATGGTCAGGTGCAAAGTGGAAGAGCATTTCATCATGGGCGGTTCATCATGGCTCTCCGAAAGGCAGCCCTGGCAGAACCCAAGTAAGGAAGTTTAAAAGTTAATGAATTTAGATTGCCACGTTTGGGTACTGATCCTACATTATGATGCTGCATGGCTTCCTGCAGTCCATCCTGCTGCTGCAGAGATTGATAGAATCTCTGGGGATGCTTCCTGGTATAATGATCACATCTGCATAATTCTGAAGCCATGTAAAGGCAGCAAAACTACTGCAACTTTAACTCCGCCTGATTCAAGGTCAAAGTGAGGGGGATTTCACTAACTTGTATTGCTATAGGATCATGCAAATATATCAGTTGATGTGTGTTCCCGAGTGGCAGGTCCCCCTCCTTTTATGCTAGAATCATAGAGCCTTTTTTGCCACAGTCTTTACAGGCAAGGTCAGCTCCCAGACTACTGCACCTGGCAGCATAGTTTGGGGATGAGGTGAACAACCAGCAGTGGCAAAAAAACAGGTCAGAGACTATTTAGAAAAGATAGACATATAAGTCCATGGGGCTGGATGGGATGTACCCCAGGGTGCAGAGGGAGTTGGCTGATGTGATTGCAGAGCCACTGGCCATCGTCTTGGAAAAACTCATGGTGATTGGGAGGGGTCCCGGATGATTGGAAAAGGGAAAACATAGTGCCCATATTTAAGAAAGGGAAAAAGGAGGATCCAGGGAACTATAGACCAGTCAGCCTCACCTCAGTCCCTGGAAAAATCATTGAGCAGATCCTCAAGGAATCCATTTCTAAGCACTTGGAGGAGAAAAAGTTGATTAGGAACAGTCAGCATGGATTCACCAAGGGCAAGTCATGCCTGAGAAACCTGATTGCCTTCTATGATGAGATGACAGGCTCTGTGGATGTGGGAAGACCGGTGGATGTGGTGTACCTTTATTTTAGCAAGGCTTTTGGTATGGTCTCCCACAACATTATCTCAGACAAGCTGAGAAACTATGGGGTAAATGAATGGATTGAGGGGGTAGAAAAGTGGCTGGAGCATCAGGCTGAGAGGGTAGTAATCAGTGGCTCAATGTCTAGTTGGCAGCCAGTATCAAGTGGAGTTCCCCAGAGTTGGTCCTGGGACCAGTTTTGTTCTAAGTCTTTATCAGTGACCTGGAAGATAGCATAGAGTGCACCCTAAGCAAATCTGCAGATGACACCAAGCTGTAGCTTGGTGCATAGTAGATATGCTAGAGGGTAGGGCTAGGATTCAGAGTGACTTAGACAAATTGAAGGACTGAGCCAAAAGGAATCTCCTAGGAAAATTGCAGAGTCCTGCACTTAGGACAGAACAATCCCATGCACCAGTATAGGCTGGGGGCTGACTGACTGGGCAGCAGTTCTGTAGAAAAGGACCTGGGACAATAAGCGGAATATAAGCCAATAGTGTGCCCTTGTTGCCAAGAAGGCTAATGGCATACTGGGTTGTATTGGTAGGCATGTTGCCAGTAGGTCAACGGAAGTGATTCTTCCCCTCTATTCAGCACTGGTGAGGCCACATCTGGAGTCCTGTGTTCAGTTTTGGGCCCCCCACTACAGCAAGTATGTGGACAAATTGGAGAGAGTCCAGCAGAGGGCAACAAAAAATGGTTAGGGGACTGGGGCATGACTTCTGAGGAAAGACTGAGGGAACTGGGATTAGTCTAGAGAAGAGAAGACTGAGGGGGGATTTAATAGCAGCGCTCAACTACCTGAAGGGAGGTTCAAAAGAGGAAGGAGTGAGACTGTTCTTACAGATGATAAAATAAGGAGCAATGGTCTCAAGTTGCAGCAAGGGAAGCTTAGGTTTGATATTAGCGAAAATTCTCTCACTGGGAAGGAAGTAAAACACTGGAACAGGTTACACAGTGAGGTGGTGGAATCTCCATCCTTGGAGGTTTTCAAGACCCAGCTGGACAAAGCTTTGGCTGGGATAATCTAGTTGGGGATGGTCCTGCTTTGAGCAGGGGGTTGGACTAGATGACCTCCTGAGGTCCCTTCCAACCCTGATTTTCAGTGATTCTATGAAGTTGCTCCATCTGCAGAGTGGAACTGTGTAGATACAGAGTAGATCATCCTGATGTATAACCAGAATAATAATGAATTTTTATTTGCTTCAGCATGCATACTTTTTCCTTTTATGGATATTTATAATATGTGGAAACATTACCTAATAGTCTATTAAAAGGAGGATTAGTAAGAATATGTAATTAATAGTGCATTAGTCTTTGGAACAATTAAGACATGAATTTCTGGGAATATGTACTTCAGGTATTGGGCAGGAACAAGATAATGGACCACATAAGAAGTAACCCAAGCATCAGGGCTTGATTCTCCCGTTGCACGCGTGTGTCCTTTATATTTTTGATAACTGGTTATAAACCATTGGTGCAAATGGAGAATTCTGATTTGATATGCTGCTCTGACAAGTGTTTTTAGTTGTATGTTGCAGGTTTTCATAGACATTAGGGCTGGAAGGGACCTTGAAAGATCACTGAGTCCAGCCCCCTGCCCAAAGGGCAGGAAGTCTGCAGGGATCATAGGATCCAAGCAAGGTAAACATCCAATTGCCTCTTGAAGGTGTTCAAAGCAGGTGCTTGAACCACCTCCGGCGGCAGTCTATTCCAAACCTTGGGGGCTCGGACAGTAAAGAAGTTCTTCCTTATGTCCAGCCTGAAACGGTCGCGGAGGAGTTTGTGACCGTTTGACCTTGTCATCCCTTGGGGCGCTCTGGTGAATAGACGTTCCTCCAGGTCCTGGTGAGCACCACTAATAAGCTTATAGGCAGCCCCTGAGCCTGCGCTTTTCCAGGCTGAAGAGTCACGTAGCTCTCAGCCTCTCGTCATAAGGTCTGTTTTCCTGACCTCTGATTATGCGCGTGGCTCTCCTCTGCACTCTCTCAAGCTTCTCCACATCCTTTTTGAATTGTGGAGCCCAAAACTGGATGCTGTGGCCTCACCAAGGCCCAGTACAATGGGAGAATGACATCCTGGGATTTGCTTGAGAAGCATCTATGGATGCAAGCCAGCATTTTGCTCGCTTTACTGGCTGCGGCACCACATTG